TGAGACACGCATATAAATATTGCTTTTTTGCCTTGGGATACGGTTACAATACATTGAATTATTTGTATATAACTTTACTATATGATTGTGTAAGGCTTAAAATCAGGATTTTTTTATTACAGATTTCGTTCGAATTATTTTATCAGGATTTTTTTATTACAGATTTCGTTCGAATTATTTTATCAGGATTTTTTATTACAGATTTCGTTCGAATTATTTTATCAGGATTTTTTATTACAGATTTCGTTCGAATTATTTTATTTTCTATAAATGTAAAATTGATGAAATGCATGATAAATAATTAAGAAAAAGTTATATATAGATGTTTAAACACATCATCCATTTTTATCACCTCTCATGAAATATCTATTTTCATACCACTCGGTGAAAATAAATCCTGTATTTGTAGTAAAATAAACAATTGAATTTTCTGTTTATCATACACATTTTACCTCTTTCTTGACATTACAATTTGAAAGACCCCTTCCCTTGAATTGTGAATATTTGACTGAAATTAGAAGAAAGTAGTTCGACAAGACACCAGAGAAAACAGAAAATAATTATGTTTCACTGTAGTGAATAATACGTAAAAATACAGAAAATTAAATTACTCATTTTCTTTCATCAATATTTCTCAATATTTCATTTATAAGAATATAATAAAATAATCTATTTTAAAATACATGTATTGTTTTAAGTGATAGTCTTTATTTAAGACATTCGTAGCGTTTTATTTCGTTCAAAAAGGAACGCCTGACTAAATGACATCTTTATGAAAAGGTATTTTGTCTCCTAAAAATGAGCTGCACCCAGGTAAAAAAAACCCTGTTTTCACAATTAAAACAACCATTCTTGCATTCTTGACAAACGGAATGAGCAAATGATCTGATATTGGTCCAGAACTTCATCAAATTAAAGGTACATGAGGTTCTCAGTCCCGTGGTGTCAAAAAGAAATTCTTTGGAGTACCTTTATAAACTGATTTTTTTTTTCGATTTTTTTTTTCAGTTTAATTTTCTATAGAATACATTACAATTTTGTTTAAACATTATGGTTTCTTTCTTTTTTTTCTTCTTTTTTTTCTATGGATCTTTCTTTGTAGAATAAGATATATATATTTTTGTAAAGAAGTAGAAATATCAATCGAAACTTTGTTTCCTGTTATCTTTTCCTATTTGAACATATCACGTGAATTTCTGTGCTTTGAAATCGAACTACTGTTTTGCCATGTCATTTATTTTGCTCAAGTTTACATTTAATTAAAAAAGAACACTCGGATAACAGAAGTTTTAAAAGTTTCGTTATCGGCTGTCCAAAAATAAAAAAAGAAGCGGACATTTTTTTCGAGTCTCGCTTTTTTCTTTTTTATAATTGTAATTTCATGTTCATTGTAAAACATTCGCCACCGGATACAGGTGCAGACGATATTCAACGCTGCGCTCCAACTGATGCATGATGGGACCGGAAACCAGCGCACCTTCTGCTTGTTAAAGATTTTCTTACATTTCATAACATGCATCATAATTAAAATACAGTTGCATGTTCTAAGCGTGTTTTGAGGTTTCCTAATTTTCGTATAAAAATTATAAAAAATAGAATACACAAAGGCTTGTCCAGAGTTTTTTTTTCCATATTTTCGTAGAAAAGTAGTATTTTTTTAAATCTTTTTTTCCCATTTTTTTATCTACTTTTTATTTATTTATTTGGGTGGGGGTTTGTTATGATCTCAATTTTCCTATTTCATTTATTGGTATTAAATAAATGCCGTTTGATAAAATGTACATGTGACTTTCTATTTAAGCAGCTAACGCCAGACTATCTTACAAAATGACATGCGGATATTTGGTTTATACAATATTACATATCACGAATTAATAAATGTCGGCCACTGTGTCAACAAAAATAATTTGGTGTACATCAATTTTCTGTTTTCGAATCGACATCCAAAACATTATTTTCTGCTAAAGTTGAATCAGTGCAAATACATGTACTGTATATGCATTTTTATTGTGTTGTCACATGTATGTGATTTAATAAAACTGAAGCTTCACGTCCCTAGATGAGTTAACAAATGTTCAAGAATACAAATTTAAGCACGACATGTAAATAGTTAAGGGCCCATTTATGCCTTGGAAATGTTTTTGTTTTCCTTTTCTTAAAAGCTTTTTTTCTGTGCACTTTATAATTTCAAAAAGTTTTAAATTACTTAATACATCTCTTTTTTTCGGTTGCTTTTTGACAATTTGTACGGTTATATAGTAATTTAGTATTTTACATTGGAGTCAAAATACTACTTTATGACAAATAATTTCACATTTATTACTACTTTCTTCGTGTAACAAGCTTCTAACCTGTTCTAAAACCATAATTTAATCATTTTAAACTCAAGGTTGCATTTTATTCGTTTCTGAGGCATGTAACTGGGCCTTTAAAGAAATCTATAAATAATCTTTACTCATCATTCTTATTACCATAATTCTTCCATGTCAATGCAAAGTAAATGTTTGTTTAACATATTATCGGTACTTTGTGTCTTTGTGTTTAAACTTTAAATCACTTAATTTGTCCGTTTGTAGATTATTTTTTCTTTATCAACATTAATATGAATGTTTGAGGTTTGTTATGTCATATTTACGGATTTATATGTCCAACTTATTTGGTTTAATAACATCTAATATGTTAAACAGAAATCTCAATAAATTTAGGATTTTTATTACTATTTATTTATGTATTTATTTATTTATTTATTCATTCATTATCTTATTTATTATTTTATTCATTTATTTATTATGAACTTAGTAAATTGATTGAAATCAAAATTTCGCGTTAGAGACGAGAACGGTATATAAAACAAGAGGTGTCCGTAAGACGGGCCGCTCGACTATTCAGTCAGTGCTCGACAGTAAAAAAAGGGATATAACTAACTAAATAAATTTTTAATCAAAGTTCTGGAACTTGTCCCCATCACGTTAGAATATCACAAGCGAAGTTTGAATCCATTCCCTTTAGTACTTTTGCAGATACCAACTTGAACGCAAAAACTTAACCAAAGTGTGACGACGACGACGCCGCCGGGATGACTACAACAGAATGGTCGAGCTTATAAGTTAAAGTTATCTGAACTGTGATTATAGATAATAATAAATCGTGACATACATTTTTAGATTGAATTAAATTTTAACGTAATATGATTCTTTAAGCATATCGTCTGCTATGAAATACATAATCCAATGATTTAAATATTTCCTTTTTTCTCTTAAAATATCATATTTATCCTTTATTTCATAAAGTGTGACAAGCCTCTCCCCAGTCCGATGATGATTATAATTTTGTTATAGGATACAAAAACAAAAACAGACTAGAAAACAAACAAACAAAAAATAACCAAAACAACAAAAAACAGAAGAAAAAAATTAACAAAAGAAAAAGGTTACATTATACCTCGCGTAGATTTATGATATTGTTAATGTATTGTATTATTACACACAAGAATGTGAAGAACTTACTTTAAAGTTAAAAAGGTAAAGACAATGCAAAAATTTACCTTGCTCAGGTAATATTATAACAAAACTGTGGACACTAAAGTCTTACCTATGGAAAGATTATCCTTAAAATGACAGTTATGTTTAAAATTTTGAACCTGTCGAATTATTTTAGAAATGATGCAACCGGAAAAATACTATTCAAATTTTTATTATCCCCTCAATGATCTCTTTAAAAAAGAAAAGAAAAATGATAACCTGTGACTACTTCAAAGCTATCATTATCCAAATATTGCAGGTTATCTATATATAGCCCGACATGAGCCCGTGAGTCAGAAATGTAGGGAATTTGTGGGGTTTTGTTTGTATTTTATATAAAGCGATTCAACAAAATTTTAAATCTAAAAATATGAAAAAAAAGAAGAAAAAAATCTTGTGAAATAATGTACATGTACCAAAAAAAATCACCCTGCATTCGTGTAGTACATGTTCTGGTCATTTCCACCATATTCAATCTCTTTCAGGCGCTTCCGGACTTGACCGGTACAAAGGAAGGCTCGAGCTCCCGAAATTAAATTGAAAAGTAGATGTGAAATATTGTAAAAGAAATGAAATAATAATCGCATTTTTTTATTAGAAATTGGCAATAACTTTACTTAAAAAAATTGCTATATATTAGGATAATAAACGAGACACCTATTTAGTTTGAAAAAACAAAATAGACATAATCTAAATTTGAAAAAAAAAATCCCACTGAAGGAACAATTGGTATAAATATTGTAAAGTTGTAAAAATATACATATATAAAGGGTTGCAATTTGTTGACTACAACCGGAAACGGGATCCTTTCGTTTTTTTAAGGATCTGGTACCGGAAAGGGGTCAGATAAGGGATCACAGTTATCAATTATTGTAACTTGTTGAACTATTGTCGAGATTTTTGAAAAATATAAAGAATACAAATACACACTTTAATTTAAGTATGTTATATATATCTAGATTATGAAATATTTTATTATACATGTATTGCACGCATTTGTCGTCCGTTGTTCGTTATGAATTGATAATGTGATTGATTGATATGTTGAAAAATAATGGTTGATTGATTGATTGGTTGATTGATTGATTTATTACTTGATTGATGGATGATTGCTTGCTTGAATGATTGGAAGCTTGATTGATTGATTGATTTTGGTAGATCGATCGATTGACTGATTGATTGATTGAAATGTCATAATCTGAGTGAGAAGAAAAGTTTGCTCTTAAATTTTCATTTTTTGTCGCTAGTCTAACTTTGAAATGTGGTCCATTCAATTTTCATGAACACTCCACTCCAGACATAGCATTACTTTAAAATTAATTCGATTAATTGCATGCACATATTCAAAATTAACGTGTTTCACCTTAGTATTTGTACTGTTATTAAATACGGAAGCATAAAGATAAAATACAGTTGTGATACAGAAATAAATAAAGCTGCTAATACAGTATGAAATTAATGAAATATACATTTACATAATTACATCATTTTAGTTAATGTATGAATTTAAAATTAATGTACATAAAAAGAAAATAAACACTAATACTTACTTCTTCAGCACGAGCTCGCGTGCGGTGTGTAGCCTTGAAAATTGTACAAAAATCGAATATCACTTTATCTATATACAAACTGTTGTTAAAATATCTTTCTCTTCTTTTAAACTTTTATATTTCCTTGAAGTAAATCCAACTGTATTTATTTCTTAAATCTTTCCTATTTATCAAATTTATCTGCTTCAACATAATTTCCGCTTATAGTTTGAACATTAATTTATTTCGTTTACAAGAACGCTTCTGTTTTTGTTCATTTTAACAGCAAATACTGTACAGTATAGTGCAATTATATGTTTGTACGAATCACTCCCATTCATAAAATATTACGCATGAGATGCGCCTGTTAACCAAACCATTATGTTGTTATTTCAGGTTATTTCAGGGAGTGTTCGCAGCAACCGTACTTCGATACATGGTTTATATATTTTATGCTCCGATTTATAAATACAGCTGTACCGTATTTAGTTTAAAGAAATTTGCCCGTGCAAAAAATGCATCAGAACGGTTATAAAAGATGGAGAAAGAAACGATTAAAAATGGAATTGCCTTAAAAATAAAAATTTAAGTACAGTACTTTATTTAAGAGATGCCCGTTATCAGTTAGAGGATTTAGTCAAGGTTATCATGTTAAAGTGTAGAAAATTGCAAATGTGCAATCAATCAATAATTCATTCATTCATTCATTCAATCAATCAATCAATCAATCAATCAATCAATTTATCAATCAACTACAATTTTAGATTCAAGGACCACGTGCGTTGCTTGCTAAAAATATAAATAAATTAATAAAGCGTTTAAACATCGTGTATTTTTTTTTGTATCCAAATATAAGGGTGCTAATTAAATTTAAAAAGACATATATTTTATAACCGTTATTAAAACATTTAGAATGCAGAAGGTCAAGCAATACACGTGTATCAAAAACGAGGCGAAAGTATTATCGTGCTTTTAATCTGTGCCACGATGAGCGAAAGTACGACAAAATATCACGTTTTTGGCACAAATCTGCCGCCCCGCAGAGCGAAAATCATGGCACAAATCAGCCGCATGGTGCGACAGTCACTACTTTGTTGTATGTTCGCCTCCGTGAAGAAAATGCGACAATGTCACCACTAATCTTAGTCGTATCAACGTGCCCGCGGAGCGAAAATACGAGATGGCACAAATCAGTCACCATAGACCGTTGACGCTCGAACTTTATAATTTTTTTTACTCACATGATTGTTTTTAGAGAGAAAAAAACTTAACACAATATTATAAGGATACAAATCGCAAATGACATATTTTATTGAATACTTAGTCATAATTACGCCGGACATAACTATCTATACAGATGATGAGTTTGACGTAGCGTAAACCAAGTAAATAATTTGTAGTCGGAGCGTCTTCTGTATCAATACAATGGCATTACCATTAAGAACAAAAAAAAACGAAAATGTATACCTAATAAGGGCGAATGTCAGCTATTGAATTAATAAGTTCGCAGGTTGAAAGATAAATTATTGGTGGAATAACAGAAAGTCAGCTATTATTTTTTTGGACACTACGATACAGAGTATTATATTTTTTCCTACAGGCACGAGTATCGGACCTGGGAAGAAGAAAAAATGATCAACCCCTGTGTTCATCTTAAATGTGTCAAGTTAACTTATAGTACAGTATATTTTTCAAGGGGGTCATATTTTTCATTTCTTTTTTTTTTTTTTGGGGGGGGGGGAGTGCCAAATTTAAGATGAACACAGGGTCTTTTATCAATCTGGTCATATTTTTTTCTTCCCATGTCCGATACTCGTGCCTGTGCTTTTTCCCCCCAAAAATAACTAGAATGTTATGCACGTGGTGCAGCTACAATTCCACTTACACACATCCCTCGTGTCAATCAAAATAAAGGAGGAGAAAATATTATATACCTAAATATACATGTCTAGCTCCTATACACCGGAACTGAGCACGGTTTCAAATTTAAGTACGGCTTTTGTGTGTTCACTGTATACACTCTATAATTTGAAATAATGACGAACGCTATATCAAGTTCATCTAGGAGTTTTTCAACACCAAATTGCAATTGAAGGCCGGATATGCACATCAAATATCTTGTAATCCGAGCGAGATACAATTAAAATGTGATAAAATAGCGACAGATCAACCTTTGTGTACGCCGTGCACAACAATACAGAAATTTAAAGGTATACGCCGGTAAATCACTTAATTTATAACCCTCCCTATAATGAGCTGCTATACAGTTAAAAACCGTATTGTAAGCGTATATACACATATAGCCTTACATCATAATGTGTGCGGTCCATGATTCGATTTTTTTCCATGCTATATACATATATGGGCAAAATAGAACGAACAGCATTTTGCACTTTCATTAAAAGTTTATAACTGTTCACTACAGAATTAAGCTAAATGTTTATTTAGATATAATCACAGATATACATACTATATTTAGCTCCATGATGTAATGTATTATGACAAATGGAAAAACTTAACAGGCTAGATTTCTTAAGCGGAATTGTCCATCTTTCAATTTGGACAATACATTTTATCTTATGAAATAAGAACTGAACGGCAAACCTAGTGTCGTCTGCACGGGTCTCATAATAACAGCAGGCATGCTTCTGAACGATCAACTGGCAAAATTTAAATAAATTCATCTAGCCTACGTTGATTGAAATAATCACTGTTGATTCCCTATTTATAATGAATACAGTTGCTACGAATGTATGGATGCATATGCGGCAAACTGGGTAATTTTTTGTATCAATGGAGTATAACTTAGTTTTAGTATTTTGACAAGTTATTTGAAGCAGGTGATCACCATTTTACAATGGACCTCTGTAGTAAAATTCGCAACTTCGTTCGAATCTCGCCATGGAGTTTTCGATATTTTTTATGTAAGGAAGCTTTTAGCTTGTTAACGGAAGATTCAACTCAGGTACCCGCTCGTGCCCAGAATAATGAACGAAGGGGCACTAGAGTTCTTTCTCCACGAATAAAGATGGAATGTCATCATATTACCATAACAGTGTCGGCGAGTTTGGATCGTAACAAGACTTGAAGAGCCACCGCAAGGGGCCACATTCGACCATTTTAAGGTCGATGTCAAATTTGAATCACTTAACATGTCGGTTTTCTTATATAGGTATTGTTTTTATCAAAGAATGAATCAAATCCATCTATAAATGAAAAAGTTATTACAAAGATTAACAAGAGCCACCGCCGGACGAGGGCAACGCTCGACTTTTAACAAATAAAAGGTTTAAACAAATCTTTAAAAAAAAAAGGAAAAAAATATTTTTCCCTTTAGTCGGTCTAGTCACACTTATATTTTCTCCAAATATGAATTATACCATAAATAAATTCCAAAATTAAGAAAATACAAGCAAATTTGTTTTTGTTGAATTTATATCCCCCGCCGAGTACAACAACTGGAGACATAAGGCTTTATTCACATAAATCTATCATGGCATGAAGATTTCCTTTTCATATTGATGGTTCCCATAAAGTCTTCTTGAAATCAAAGTTTCGTTGAATTCCAGCCAGTAGTTGCAGAGAAGTAGCGCAGAAACGATTATTGCTCTATATGTATACTGCATAACTAATCAAGGGCCCTAACTCCGAAGGGTCTGAGAGGAACAAAGAGGATATGCGCATTTCCTCTTGGCATTGAAGGTTCCCATAAAGTTCGTGGAATTCCAGCCAGTTGTTGCAGAGAAGTAGCTCAGAATCGATTATTGCTCTAGATGCATACTGCATAACTAATCAAGGGCCATAATTCTGAGTTAAAGTGTGACTGGAACAAGGCAACAATACGCTAACTCTTGGTATTGAAGGTTCCCATAAAGTTTCGTTGAATTCCAGCCAGTAGTTGCAGTGAACTAACGCGGAAACGAAATTTGGATGGACAACGCCAAAACAATATCCCTCTCCCAATTCATTCGGCCGGGGATAATAAACAAAATTTAATCATTTGATCTTGACAGTTAAGGTGAAGGCCATATCTATGACCATGACGGTCAAGGTCATTTAAAGCTGAAGATCAAAATCAGTTTATTCTTTTAGAAAGATGTATAGAGGGTTATTTTGATAATTCATAAATTAACGACAAAGTTACAGCCAGTAATTGCAAAAATCCGTGAAAATTCAACAATTTGCCCTTTAAGGTCAAGGTCATACATGAGCCAATGCCAATTTGAGTTTGATATACATAAAGGCTTTATCCTAAACAATGTTGTGTCTAAATATAAAGATAATCAATTTATAACAAATTAATTTTATTAATTTGACCTAGATAGTCAAGGTCAATGTCACATCGAAATCATATATAATAAATATGTTTGTTTGGTCTTTTTAAGTATAAATCAAATCCATACAGACATATCAAAATTAAGACAATTCAAGCAAAATTTAATAATTTAACCTTGGCAGTCAAGGTCATTTAAAGCTCTAAAGGTCATATGGTCTTGTCCAAGTATGAAGAAAAACCATTCCTTTGTGAGTTGTAGCAAAAATACTTGAAAATTCAATAATTTAACCTTCAAGGTCAAGGTCATTTTTTTTTAAAAAAAACATAGAGGTTGTACCCTTAAAATGTATCTAAATATGAAGTCAATAGATCTATCAATAGATCAAAAAGTTCAATAATTTGACCTTAAAGGTCAACTAGTCAGAGTCAAATTTAGTTGGATTTTCTTGTCCTGCATTTTTAGTAGAAACATACATTATGAATACATGGACATCCATTGATTCTTAAAGCTCTGACCAGTGAGCTAAAGATAATATACCAACAAAGTGCCACGGTTTGAGTCACAGAATCTTAAATAAACAGATTTACCTTGGTCAGAATTCATAATCATCTAAATATTTTAAACAGTTCCAAAGCAATGGGACAGACTCCTACATTAAATTAGCTGTAAACAATGCATAATTCCTCTATATAAATTATTTTTTTTATAATTTGGCCAAATGAAGAACAAAGTACATTGTTATAAAGGCAGCAATTTTATTTTCAAATACTGGGTGGTAAATAAGGCACACTACCTTTGATTAAAACTACAGGCAAGCTTGCATGAGCACATGTACACATAAAACAAATTAAAATGCCGCTTTTTCTGTCAATGACTGATTTACGAGGGAAACCAGATTATTTCTGTGAGAAAAAACTGGCAGCGAATGTGACATGAGTATTGTAAAAAGACATCTGAAAGACCTGAATTCACCTGTCTTTTTTTTCTTTTTTTAACAAAGCCTCGAAAAAAAAAAGTTATTTTTCTCACAAAAATAAAATGATATTATCTGCAAAATTTTTTTTTTACTGATGAAATTTGATAAACAGCGAAAAACAAAATAGAATATAAAAACAGGTTTCATTTTTCCCTCGAGTTTTAAAGCCGAAGTATGTTTTTTTTCAAAAGAACACATTCACACATTTTCATTATAAACATGAAAAGTATACATGAATAAATACATTTATATATAATACATTATAATCAGGTGTCAAGGGTCAAAAGAAATATAATTAAATATATTGCACTTTAATTTCAACATCAATAAAAATGATCTAACATTTTTTTTAAGAACAATAAGCTTATAAACAAAACAGAGAACAAGATACCCTACTTTCTTCTCCATTCATTTCACAATAACTTGCAAAATCCTTGTAATCATTAGCTGGCCACAAAATATCAAAAGCATGACATAAAAAAAACCAGTCTGTTCTTATAAAGGTAAGAAAAGGTATGAGTTTGTTTAAGTTTAGACTGCTTCACATTTTAAATATTACAAATAATTTTTTAGACTGTGGCACTAGAAATTAGTTTTTTAGACTGTGTCATCAGAAATAATTTTTTTAGACTGTGGCAGTTGGCAAATCTTCCATAATTAACAGCCATTCTTTAATGTACGAAAGATGATTTTCAATTAACGGAATCAATTAATGTTTTTGAAGCAAGTACAATTACCTTTCTACAGTACAGTCTATATATATTTTTGTGCACAGCTGCTCATCAAATTAACAGTTGGTTAAAAGTTGCTAACACACAAAATGACAAGCATAAAACTTAAAAGTGTGTACACTAAAAGTTGTTAAAACCACTACAATAAAGTTTTCAAAAGAATATTTGTAGCCTCTGGTTCAGAAAACACTGATAGTAACTTGCAAAAACATGTCTGTCATGGTTGTCTTCCGTTTAAAAATTTTTACATTGAAAAAGTTTATTATGTTAAACACATGGAATTTCTATAAACAAGAAGTAAAAGTTTTTTGGGTTTTTTTGTTGCGTTGATTCTGTGGCCATGGAAAACTGCTGCTGAATGGAGTAGGTACGAAAAGTGGAGGAAAAAAGCTTGAACACTCTGTAAATAGAAGAACACATAACGCATGTTGTATGGTTAAACAACAGGAGAGCTTAATTATCTTCAAAACAATAATTGTTTTAACATCACTTCATAATGGGTCAACTTAGAGGAAAGAAATGAATAATTGACCAATTTTTCAAAGGTAGTGTAATGAATCCATGTACTTAGATGTGCTTATGCTTACAATTTTTATCTGCTTTACTTTTGTTTATACATTTACATATGTTTGTCGGAAAATAGCTCATGAGTTAGTGTTTTCTGTTTAAATGTATCCGAAGTAAAATGTATTTTCTTGTATCTTGAACAAACCACAGAACGCTTCACTTTTGTTCCTTGGCTTATGAGCCATTTTAAATCTGTCTTCTTGTTGTATTTGGTTTCACGCCACACCAACACAGTTTAGGTCATATGTTGCAGAAACAGAAAAACGGATTTTGGCTAACCTTGGGTGTTACAAACTTAAAGTAACACTAAATGTCAATACCATCTCACTTGCTGGAGCTTAGAGATGCATAGACTCCAGTAATTCAAACCCATTTCTATCACACAGGGATAAACGCTGGTTGCAATTCTGATGCCCTCACACAACCCCTCAGTCACAAGGAGAATGTGTGTCTTCAATAACTTTATACTTTAATTCAAAAATCAACGGTGCAAAGCTGAGCTTTGAACTCTTAACTCTTGTGATCCTAAAATAAGCCATTTTGATGTATTGTGATCTTGCATCTGGCCTATGCCATTAGTGAATTTAAAATGTGAAATTCAGGCTATAATGACCTCTGCCCCTTCTAGTCATGTAAAAAAACCTTTTGGCATTTGAACTCTGCAAGTCTTGTGACAACAAAATGTGAAGTTTTGACTTATGTAGGTCTTATGAGCACGAAATGTTATCTTGTCAGCACAAAATGGTAAGATTTGTCTTGTGAAGGTCTTGTGAGCACAAAATGTGAAGTTTTGACCTATGGATTTCTTGTGACCACAAAATGTGAAGTTTTGACCTATAAAGCTCTTGTGACCACAAAATGTGAAATTTTGACCTATGGAGGTCTTGTGACCACAAAACCTATGAAGGTCTTGTGACCACAAAATGTGAAGTTTTGACCTATAAAGCTCTTGTGAACCACAAAATGTGAAGTTTTGACTTTGCATTTCTTGTGATCACAAAATGTAAAGTTTTGACCTATGAAGTCTTGTGACCACAAAATGTGAAGTTTTGACTTATGTAGGTCTTATGAGCACAAAATGTTATCTTGTCAGCACAAAATGGTAAGATTTGTCCTGTGAAGGTCTTGTGAGCACAAAATGTGAAGTTTTGACCTATGGATTTCTTGTGACCACAAAATGTGAAGTTTTGACCTATAAAGCTCTTGTGACCACAAAATGTGAAATTTTGACCTATGGAGGTCTTGTGACCACAAAATGTTAAGTTTTGACCTATAAAGCTCTTGTGACCACAAAACTATGAAGGTCTTGTGACCACAAAAAGTGAAGTTTTGACCTATAAAGCTCTTGTGATCCACAAAATGTGAAGTTTTGACTTTGCATTTCTTGTGATCACAAAATGTGAAGTTTTGACCTATAAAGCTCTTGTGAACCACAAAATGTGAAGTTTTGACTTTGCATTTCTTGTGATCACAAAATGTAAAGTTTTGACCTTTGATGCTCTTGTGACCAAAAAATGTAAAGAGTTGACCTATGAAGTCTTGTGACCACAAATGTAAAGATTGACCAATGGAGGTCTTGTCAACACAAAATGTGAGGTTTTGACCAATGTAGGTCTTGTGGTCACAATATGTGAAGTTTTGATCAATGTAGGTATTGTGGCCACAACATGTGAAGTTTTGATCAATGTAGATCCTGTGACCACAATATATGAAGTTTTAACATCTGCAAGTTATGTGACCTTTTGACCTATGAAAGTCTTGTGACCACAACATGTGAAGTTTTGACCAATGTAGTCTTGTCATCACCGAAAGTGAAATTTTGAACCGGACATCTACATGTCTTGTTAAGTTTTGGTATTTGGCCTATGCCAATTCTGATTAAATGTGCATATTGTTTTCTACAACTGACCTCTGCTTGCCCATTTATCATCACAAAACAGGAAAGGTATAGCAGTTCTTCAAGTCAAGAGATCACAGAATATGAACTTCTACCTCTACATGATATGATTACAAAATGTCAAATTTTGAAACTGACAGTCGCACAACTTGTTACCACAAAATATGTAATTCTTAACCCGACCTGTGCATGATGCATTTGTTTGTTTGGTTGGTTTATGGTTCACCAACACAGTATAGGAAACTATACACACAAGGCATCAAAACCACCTCACCTGCTGGAGCTAAGAGATGCATTGACTCCAGATGTTTGAACCCATTTAGTCACCTCTTACGACCATGCAGGAATAACTTGACTTGCTTGGATATCTAACCAGTAAATACCAATTTATCTGCAGGTGACTTAATCCCACATGATATTAAAATCAGCAGTGAGAGACAATTGACAATTAATGTCCCAGGTCAATTCCCACAAAAAACTATTTTTAACGAAAAACTTTTTTACGTCATGTCAGGAATGTACCAGTGACCCCTTGTTACAAATTCATTGAGCTAAATTGGTTTACTAAATCTACAAAGAGTAATCTTGGCCATATGTAACAAACAATATAACCAAAACCATGTTGACCTTAATTTGCATCATCACATCTTGTAGATTAAGCACATATCACAAAATACCACATAAATGGTTAAGTTAGCGATACGAAAATATTGGCGAATTTCACAAATTGACTAAAAAAATCGCTAAAATTTCCTCTAACATAAATATTACCCAAACTGTTTTCAGTTTTCGAGCTACTCAAAGATTGGTGAATTGCTTATATTTCCGCATGCGAAATGTCTGGAAATTTTAAATTTGCTAACTTTTCAACACACGGAAATACCCACTTATACAGTAAACCCAATAATTATGAAGTTCTGTTAAAACAAAAATGTCTGAAAAATCAAAAGATAAGGCAAATAGATAACAAATATATTATCTTAAAGTAATTGATAAATACATCAATTTATTATATCCAATATCTGAGCAAGAATTTGCCCTAGGTAACTTTTTCAGCATCCCTCGACTATTTTTCAACTGCAACATATGTATCGTGTATATGGCTGTCTTTCATAGCTGATGAATGCTGAAATTGCACGCCATAGAACATATTCTCCAAGTGAAATTGCCTGTTTGATATATCCAAAAACTGTAACTTTTCTATAAGCTCTCGCAAGCAGACAAGAGTAAAGGAACCTAGTTCATTTATATCAGAATATAATTATTTATCAACGCATTTTTATACCAGAGTCACTTCAAAATCTATCACCAAATTCTACAATAAAAATGCACAATATAATAACAAAATTACATGTATCAAATCTTTTCTATTCAAAAATATATATTATCAAAATCTTTTCAACTCAAAAAGCTCTCTCCAAATAAACTCTCACAAAATTGTCTACCAAATTTTCAATCATGTCTTTAACTTAAAATACTTTTTAAAAAGTGTATACGTTTATCAAAAAACCATTTTTTTTCAGCCAATAATTATATAAAAGCTATGTGGACATTAGCAGGTGTGGTATTTCTATTCTACTGTGTTGTTTTTTTCAGTGATTCTTTTTTATAAATGAGCCGCGTCATGACAAAACCAACATAATGTGTTTGCGACCAGCATGGATCCAGACCAGCCTGCGCATCCGCGCAGTCTGATCAGGATCCATGCTGTTCGCTTACAGACCCTATAACAAGTAAAGAAACTGATAGCGAACAGCATGGATCCTGATCAGACTGTGCGGATGCGCAGGCTGGTCTGGATCCATGCTGGTTGCAAACCCATTATGTTGGTTTTGTCATGACGCGGCTCAAATCAGCTAGTAATCTAATCTCATACACAAAGTGTCGTTAAACAAACAAAAAGTCGATGCTCTGCAAAATTTTAGTTCTACTAAAAAACACGTACGTATGCAAGTTTGTTGCATAGATATGTTAAAGAATTATGTTATTCATTTTTTGTATTTGTAAATACACATCTTGTCACGATTGTGAGTCGTTGAAGATATATCTAGTTAGCATTCAGTAATCATTATTAATGTTATGCAAATTTTTAGTTCTCTGTTGTTACACATTGCTGGTATTTTAAGTTCTCAACAAGTTTTTCTATTTGTATCCTATCCCTTACAAAGCTACATCTTAACTTGATTTGACAATCTTTTAACAGACAAATTGGAAATGATCATTTAAGAAATTAAGGGAAAATTAAAAAAATTTACTGGCTGAAAACGAACTGTACCAACTACGATCGGACGGCATGTATGCGCGGCTGATCCTGGTCAGCACTGGTTGCTAGAGTAGATTCTGTATGGGACTATCGGACTGCAGCTTAAAGTTAAAATGGAACACAAATGTCCCAAATAAACTTTCTTACACAAATGATCAAGTCATAGACTTCTGCAAATAGTGCATGTCATTCCATTAAATATATAGACCCCTTCCCAATAATATTTAATCTTTTCATCTGTGTAACACAGTTTAAAATATTTTTCTTACAATACAATGAAGAACTACTTTTTCCCCATTTTTTTTTCATTTTCAGAACTACTTTTTTAATATAATTTTTTTTTTCAGAACTATTTTTTTTACAGAATTTTTTCTTTCCAGAACTACTTGTATTACATATTTATTATAATAACCAGCAATGTGTTATAGAGACTACATGTATATTAAAGTGCGCTAGCAGTGCCCGCATGCTAATTGACAATATAGCTACACTCTCGCTTGTATACCCTTGGGATAATTTACCATTTTAGGACATTTTTTCTCTTTTCATTTTTTTTTAATAAACAAATATCTTAAATATCGCAAGAAGAAAATAAAAATTCTTTTTTATTAAAATTCTTTGGGAAAAAAAGAAAATAATTATATATTTAACTGTAATCAGTGTGAAAATTAAAACAAATGAAAATAAGAAAAATAATAATCAAATGGCAAAACTACAACATTTAATTAAACAACAACAACAACTTCTACTCAGCCATTTTGTGGTATTCTTTTAAAGACCGGTATTGAGTTTTGCATATAAATTTTGGGTAAATATATACCACTAATTTTCAAATTTTAGAGATTTGTGCCGATTTGAATTTTATAATTTTAGCTTGCTCTCTGCTTTCATAAGCATTAATTTCAGCGCTGGCTCAAAACTAAGCATCGCAGTTTATAATATATATATGTATGTATGCGTGCCCTTCTATAAAAGCAATGAAATTCAAAAACTGGCTTGCTTTGTGTTGCTTTATTAGATATTAAATAAGCACATAAACTAACAGCATTGCTTGAAAAAAAAATCAAGATAGATTATTGACCAGACTCAAAGCTCAGATACCAGGTAATGGTTCTTTCGATCTTTCATATTTTGCAAAATAAAAAAACAAACTAACAACAATTTTCAAGTGTTTTTTTCCAGTTGCGATATCGTCCAAAAAATCATATTACGAACAGTTTTTTAACCTTGAGGAAGGGAAGGGAAAGGGAGGGGAAACGAGTCACGTTTTTTACCATTCCAATGTCAATTCACTGGAGTGGTTTTGTTTTTGTTTTGGTGCTAAAATTGCAAGGCAATGTTCAGTGCAAAAAATTAAGCAGAAAATTAATAATTGAACTGTCGTAGTAGGGGACAAAACTTGCAAGGGTTTTAGCCGGGAATTTATCATTTGCCACTACCATCTAAGATATAACTTGCCGGACTGTAAGCAGAAAATCTATCATTTGAACATTTGACACAACTTGTGAGACTTATAGCAGGAAATTTTCCATTTGTTCATCTGAGGCAGGAACGTAACTTCTATCATTCTTAAGAATAAACAAAACGGGTGCCTGGCCTTTGTATATTGGACTAGCAATCACACTAGAAAGCCACTATATTAAGAGCAGTGAAACAATCTTCTGCAGTCAGTATGTGGTGCTTGCTTCAATAACACTAATAAACACTCATTATTTTCTTAAAACATGAAATAATCGGCTTCATAAGGCTATTTGAAGTAAGTCGCTTGTAAATATTAGTCTCCATTCACAATATTACGTAAAATTCAGCTTTGCTCTACAGCACCTAATTTACATAATGCAACTAAATATAGCAATCTATTTATAACACTATGTGCTTCATCAGTATTGGGTACAATGCTCTTCAGTTTTGACCAATCAAAAAGCTTGATTAATCAGATCACTAATAAATAGCATAGGACTTTAGTTCTGTATAGAACTTTAACCAGAGAGAAACTTCTGCAGGCTTGACTTGCTAGTCCAATGTCTCAGACATTGTGTTTTTTTTCACATTGGAAGACCCATGTACTGCTAAGTTTTAAAAAGTACAGAATTTTTTATAATATTATAATAACTACAAATCTATATTTGGCCGCTAAAACACTATTATTAATATGATGACCTCCTATTTTTGATCAATTTTAATTTAATGCAACAAAACAGAAGCAAGCAAAATTACAATAAACACTGGAACACAGGTTCTGAATGTATGTATACTACCAGAGAAGTAGTGACTACTCATACATTCAGAATTCCCCTTCCAGCTTTATAAAAATAAAGGAAAATGTTTGGCAGAGTAAAAAGCCTTGAGACACACTCAAAAACCATTTTCACATTGTGTATAATTTTCTCAAATAAGTTGAAAATGAAAAAATTAATTCACATATAAGCAAAATGCAATAAAGGCCATCTGAATTTAGTTTTAATATCACATACAAGTGTGATGGTACAACATTTAATGCCAGCCAATTAATTTAATTAGTTATAACTAAGCAAATTTCCAAATCAAAATTAAAACGATTTTCCCAAAATAAATTAGGGAAAAAAAATGTTGAAAACAAAAGAAAATAAAGCAAAATTAAGATAAAATATAAATAAAGAAAAAAAAAAAAAAGCTAACATAAAAAACAAACTAAAAAGTACAATAATGAATAAAACATTTGAAAAAAGTAAAAAAAAATAAAACGGTCATGATTTTAGTGAATGCAGAGCAAGTTGGCTATCCCAAGTTTACACTAGCGAGGACGTCAGCGCGTCTTTGTAACACAGCAAGGCTAATACTTACATGCAAACGCATAATAAGTTTTCAGGGATAAATCAATATCCTCCTGTAAGATAGTTATAATTGTCATTGAGATAGTCGTTATACATTTTACTGACGTCTATAAGATCTTCCTGCAAAGAGAATGAAAGCATGTCAGTCATACAGAATGATAGAACCTGCCCTAAAAGCCGTATCGGACCCATGATTGACTCCCTTATTAAGTTTACAGAATAAAAAAAAAAGTAATCTATGTTGGTCCCATATTTGTACCAAAATTTAAATCTCATTAAAACATGAAAGAAATACAGAATAATAAAACCTGCCAGAAGAGCCATATTGTACCCATTTTTGGCTCCCTAATTAATAATCAATGAAGAAAGTAATTAATATCTATATTGGACCCATATTGACTTCAAAGTTTTAATCTCATTTTATTACAGAATAATAAACTGCTAGTACAGCCATATTGGACCCATTATTGGCTCTCTCATTAATAATAACTGAAGGTTTCAGATAGCATAATCTATATTGGACCCATATTAGCTCTAAAATTTAATTCTATAATTAACTCTGCTAAATCTCATATTGAATCATGACAACCTTTGAGCTGAAACTGTTCTAGACTAGAAAGTACAAAACATATTGGCACCGAAATTAAAAACTTGTCTTTTATAATCATTTTACTAAATTTAACCATTTTTTTTAAAAATTGCTTATTAAAAGTGATCTCTATTATAAATACAATTTAATATAAACATATAAAACTATGTAATGATGCATGAAAATAATGATCGAAAACGTGATGGTTTAAATTTAAATTTGAAAAAAAAATAAACTAGGCAAAAAAATACGATCTAGATAATCTATTTATAAATATGCAAGATGATGACATAAATGATGCATGTATGAAATTAATCCAACACTACATTCTTTGAAATGGAATTCTGCTATACATGTACTTGAACTGGATTCTTTTTTTCCACATTTGACTTTAGAATTAGAGTAGAACTATTCTGTTTTCCAACAGCAGGATAAGAGTTTATACATAAAATCAAAATGAACGAAATAACCAAATTTCATTAAATGATACTGAATTTTTTACTTACCTCAGTACATATAACAACATTTTTTTTAAAGTTTACAAATTACAAACAGTAAAACGATTACAACAAAAACTACAAACGTTGTCAGAAATGCATTTAAAAACAAATTTAAAATTCCCTATAAAAAGAATTCTAAGTAAGAATATACACGTTTCTTTGTAAAAAACAGAAGTTATTTTACAAGAATATTTATTCATACCGTTTGTTTATTTATCAGTATTTCAGCTCAAATCACAATACTATGGATACATATAAATTTGTTACTAAAATTCATTAAGTTACCACAGTTTTGCATTGAACCATCCCTACGTAAAACACAAGCTCGAGGTAATAGCTCCTGAAAAACAAATCCCCTGTATGGTCATGTAAACTATATTTGAGCCGCACCATGACAAAACCAACATAGTGAGTTTGCGACCAGCCTGGATCCAGACCAGCCTCCGCATCCTCACAGTCTAATCAGGATCCATGCTGTTCGCTTACCAACCCTATAACAGGAAGAGAAACTGATAGCGAACAGCATGGATCTTGATCAGACTGCGCGGACGCGCAGGCTGGTCTGGATCCATGCTGGTCGCAAACGCACTATGTTGGTTTTGTCATGGTGCGGCTCATTTTGTTTTTCTCTATATCCTTTTCTTTAAAGGGACTCCGCACAACTTTACTGGAAACAAGTTTGACAGCAGATTAAACTAATTCAGCAGTATATGGGTTATCCCTGAACAAATACCAAAATTACACTTCTATCCACTTGTAAGTAAATACAAGCTTTTAAATAGGAAAAAAAAAAAATTTTCAATGCGGACTCCTGACGCCTAATGAATTTAATTAAAGTTACTAATGAAATTATAAAAAATACAAGCTGATCGATACTTCAGGTTCTATTACCTCCCTTGGATTAATTCTTCAAGCAGCTGTATAGAAATCGTAAAATTCATGCTCTTAAATAATAACACATGGTTTAGCTTCCATTATTGTTTGAATATTTAAGAAATAGGAAATAAAAAAGGTTTGGAGATGGAATAATTAGGGACACCAGAACTCTACTGATTACAAGAATATACGATACACATATCTTCATGTATACAATAGCATAATGTTCCACAAAAATAAAACATCATACAAACTGACGCATACAGTGTTTTAAAATTTGATTTTATTTTAAGAATTTGAGACACATCATTATGCACTAACTGTAAATGAACTCAAGACAGTTCTATATGCACTGTCTGTAAAGAAAAACTCAAAAACAATTTCAACACAAATTAAAACATGTATAATACACACGTTTTGATATACCGGTACCTATTTGCTTTTACTTTCAAAAAAATAATGACAGGTTTAGTTGCACAAGCTATATTAGATATAAGGACAACCCTGTATGCACCAACTGTACCCTGACCCTTGTAGAGGTTAAACAGTGTGTGAGGCAGCAATTCGTGGGGTAGTAGGTTCATTAGAATATTCTAAATGTGCAATTTACATTAGTTTGATATAATCGTTCTCATGACCCAAAAAGAAAAAAAAAACATGATCCAAAAAATTAAGTCATCAAAACAAATCTGCATAATTTATTCAAATTTCAAAAGATCTATATTTAGAAATGAGCCATTTGAATACCTTAAAACCACATAATTTCAATGTTTGCAAATAAATAAAACCTTGATATTAATCGCAAATTGCACATTTTGTTTAAATTAATGGTCATATACTTTGATGAACAACCAAATATTTTGATTTAAAACTTACATAAATGTAATTATTATGTAAGACAAGAAATATCTAACTTGATAAAAAAAAAATTATTTTGGGACAACACTGTTACAACTCATGAGTAATGACTTCATTTTAGATCATTGAGTAATGGCCATGTTTTATTTTACTCTATAGGTTCATTGAGCAATGGCCACGTTATAACTGGTGCTATAGGTTCATTGAGTAATGGCCACGTTATAACTTGCTCTATTGGTTCATTGAGTAATGGCCATGTTATAACTTGCTCTATAGGTTCATTTAGTAATGGCCATGTTATAACTGGCTCTATAGGTTTATTTAGTAATGGCCTTGTTAAAACTGGCTCTTTAGGTTTATTTAGTAATGGCCATGTTTTATTTTACTCTATAGGTTCATTGAGCAATGGCCATGTTTTATTTTACTCTATAGGTTCATTGAGCAATGGCCATGTTATAACTGGCTCTATAAGTTCATTGATAAATGGTCATGTTATATCTGGCTCTATAGGCTCATTGATAAATGGTCATGTTATAACTGGCTCCAAGGTTCATTTAGTAATGGCCATGTTATAACTGACTCTATAGGTTCATTGAGTAATGGCCATGTTATAACTGGCTCTATAGGTTCATTGATAAATGGCCATGTTATAACTGGCTCTATAGGTTCATTGAGTAATGGCCATGTTATAACTGGCTCTATAGGTTCATTGAGTAATGGCCATGTTATAACTGGCTCTATAGGTTCATTGATAAATTATCATGTTATACCTAGCTCTATAGATTCATTGATAAATGACCATGTTATAACTGGCTCTATAGGTTCATTGAGCTTTGTTCATGTTACAACTTGCTCTTTAGGTTGTTTCTAGACATGACCATGTTGTAACTTGTCCTTAAGGTTCATATAGTTATGACAGTGTTGTTTTAAATCCATAAAATACATTTTGGTTGTATGCATGCATAGCTTTAAGTTGGAGTAAGAATGTGTCTATCAAATCTAAGCAGTGAAAAAGATAAATATAGAAAGAAATATATATGGCAAAATGCAAACATATCCGCTAAGTCTATTATCGTTATACATAATGACTGATGTTAAAATTAAAGCAAAACTTAAAGAAAGTTAAACAGAAAAAAAAACCAAACTTAAAACAAATTTGCTTTTTATCATATTAATTTTGTTATATACAGTAAAGTAAGCCATTTATTGCCAGACAGCAATTTCTTGTGCTTCAGCCAATCTTTCTCATTAATTTTGTGCATCAATTTTTCTTTAATTTTCAAAATAAAAAACATAAACTGTTAATATGTACATACAGAAATCAGAAGAAAAGTGTTCAAAAATAAATACAAAGAACGAAACAGAATAATCACACAATAAACTAGAATGGTAAATCTCTATTTCCAGCCTCAACTATACTAAAGAATGATTCTTGAAATGTCTAATGAAATTAGGAATTCCTATGCCAATTCAATGAAATACAAATTATGCAATTCTAACAAAAAATAACATAGGTTTGGATGTATAGGGCAAGGCCATGCAGGGGGAAAATGAGAGGAAAATTAGCTCCAGAAACATACTGGAGGGCTGCCTAATAAAGGGGATAGTCTTGTAGACTTAAAAGGGTGGGATTTCTATAAAAGGGGTGGAGCTGCATAGAAAAAGGGGTGGAACTATCTATATATAGGGTGGAGCTGCCTTAACAGGGAATAGGGTAAAAAAAGCCTAAAGACAGCTGCTTGAAGCTCTGACAAAATGAATTAAATATTAGACAAAAATCACGCTATATTGAAAAACTGTTTTTGTTACAATTTTAATTATATAAGTTCTTGGGTTGTATCAAACTTCAATTTTAATATGCAAAAAGCCTTAAAAATGTGCCAGAAGTTGAAGTAAGAATTAACGATCAAGAAACGCAAGTTAGAAATACCTTTATACATGTAAATTAAGAGTTCATTAAATAAGCATGAAATGTCTGACAAAAATCTGTTTTATAGTTAAGAGGAAGAAAATAAATATACATTTAGGAAAAGAAGATACTTTGAACAAAATGGGCAAATTATTAAATAAAGTTTTAAACTTAAACTAAAGTCTTGGTTTTGTCATCGAAAAATTATTTAAAATCATCCACTGTATTTACAAAGTATAATAATCAAATTATACACATCGTAGAATAGAATCTTACTGACAAAATACTGATTTATGAAAGAGTCCAGTTTCTTTTAGGTATTAAAATTATAATCATACTTTTTTGTTAAGTAAATCGATTGACTACAAAAGATGAAAATGTTAAAATGAAGATATAGAAACACTTTCCATTCTAAACGAGACGTGTTTTTTACAATATAATGAATAATAATCAGAGGAAAGAAAGTAGAAATGGGCCAGCCTTCAGTTTTATTTCATCGTAACAACATTATCAAGAAATAAATGTGGTCAAACAAAAGAACTTAAAAGTAACATTCATATAATTAGCTTTTTTCTCTTTACAATCATCACCCCCATCAAACCCGATATACAAGAAATTTTCTTTATAATTTTCAAATTTGTTCAATATTTCTGCAAATCATAACAAACCAAATTTATCTTATAAAGATCAGTTTTAAGTCATATTGAATGTGACATTCAAAGCAAAAGTTTTAACTTTCTAACAAAAGTTTTTGAAAGCCTAAATGTGAAAAACACATCATGACATAATCATTTAATAATCCCCCCCCACCCCCCGGAATATCAAACTTTTTTTAATAATTCAATTTGTACTTAAATTCTTTAAAAAAAAAAACATTGTAGAGGCTGACCCATTTCTTTCACAGATACAGAATTAAGTTAAAAGTATCTATTATATATGGTCGTAAGTGAGTTATCAAGCATGTTTTTATCTCACATGCAGAATAGGGTCAAGGTCACATTTTTGTTTTTGTATCTGATGTTTGCTTTTTGTGTATGTATCTCATGCCATCCAAAAATCACCTTTTGACCCTTGACACGTTGCTATGGTAACAGATTAATATTCATCGTAGGCTCGCTCCACACCAAACGCCTGTATTCTCAGCAGCTCTGGAAGTGGTTTGTCTGCGGACAGCTCCTCGTAAAGTTTGTAGCGCTGGTCGAACGATCGATCGTCGGTGTGCCTTTCATATTTACTACACAGCAGAATTTTGGGCTATTTTTCGGTTTTTGATCGGTGTGGATAAGGGCACACCCATTGATCAATGAGTGAAAGAGAAGAGAAAAATAAAACATGATTTATTAAACATGATGATGGATGGTAAATGATGAATGGTTTCACACACAAAATTACCTTGCCAAAACTATCAAGCTTTTCTTTCCATGTCCTGCGGTCCGTATTTGCTTCATATTTATTTGCAACAAGAATTTTAGGCTGAAAAGATCAAAATTTGCAGAAAAAAAATACAGTGTTCAATTTCTAGTCTACAAAAGGATCTTCCAAATGAATTAGGAAAATATCATAGAACATATTTAACTGCTCCAGTCATTTGTGCCAAATTTGTATGGTAAAAGAAAGTTTTCTTTCAAAAATTATTCCCTGCAAATCAGAACAATATTAGAATAGTTTCTTACGATAGCAGGATAATGTCGAGTATCTTTTAACACCACACTTTTATTGGTGAACAATATTAATATTAACATTTAAATATATACCACACAATCAATTATGGCAATTTTACTAAAAGATCATATTAGAAATTGAGAATGATACATATTTATATATAACATAGTCAAGATAAACAAAGGATGTTTTACTACAGTACTATGTGCAGTGACAACAATGTCTTGAGGTCTTAAGCCAGACCAGACTACTACTCTGTACTACAGGTTTATTCTTGAGCCAGGCTAGCCTATGACATCTATACCAGTGGTTCAGATGTTGAGCCAAGCTAGCCTACACGTTTTACCAACAGTGTGGTTTTAAACATATTTATTCAAGCTCGATTGCAAAACAAGTTCTTGCAAATTACAGGGCTCACACTGGCTCAAATAAAATAATAGCCAATAATTTCAACTTAAAAAAATAATAGCCAAAAGTTCAGCGGACTATTCACGAATAAGCGATTAACAACATAAACAGTTGATTAAATAAACATTACAGATATAATTTTTTTTAGTTTTATAAGGATTCTCAAAAAAACTGATGCATTTGTGTATATTGATAACTACCTTTTTTTAAATAGAACCACAACTTTAATTGTTATTATAGAACAGAATAAAAACGTTATAATTAGTATAATTACTGTATAACAACAATATTAAAGATTCATTATAACTTTACATAATGCTGTTATCAGACAACTTGTGTTGTTTGTTCTTATCAAATTTTGTCAGCTATAACCACTGTCAATTTCCACATTTCACACAGAACTGGAGTAGATCTAGGTCATATTAGCCTATAGAAATAACACGAGTTTGCAAACTCATTCACAGAATGCAGCCTTTTTTCTGAATAATTTACTGAAAAATATCATCATCACCAATGTAATACAAATTTTCTGCCATAGAAGTAAAGATTTTTAAACAGAACATAGCTTATTTCACTTTTAAATAAATATCAAAATTATCGGTGTCGCGAAAATATGTGACAATCGGATTTTTCCTGTTTTCTGAAGAAATATTCACAATTTTGGTTGTTGTGCAAATAGTTGTTTGGAAGTTAATACTTTTTAAATATTTTACCATTGTTTTCAACTTGCGATTTAGTCAAATAGCTTAAAACAAAAAAAAATCAAAATTTGCAGCAATTAATGCATTTCACGGTAAATTTTGGGTAAGTCAATATCCAGTTTATCAATTTTAAAACGATTTTTTGTGGCGAATTGATGGATATTTGATGGCTATTATAAATGCTGGACAATATCTTTAAAGTACTTATACAATTATACATCTCGCATGTATTTTTTCACCTCGGGCAATATAGTTAGCAGCACGTGACCGGTAAAAAGTTGACACTCAATTAAATGCACCCCGCTGGTGTTAATTGGGTCTACTGCATTCATTATCGATCTTTACACCTTATATTAACACTGTTCGAAGAAAAAAATAATCGCCAGATTTTGTAGCCAAAATGCAAAAATAATCGCCAATCTTATAAAATAATCGCAAATGGCGACTATGGCGACCGACAGCGTGAGCCCTGAAATTATATTAATCACTTTCGAGTCCACTTCCTGGAACCAACCAGTACTGGTGTCATATGAAGAAACATGGTTGTGAACCAAGTAGGGCTCAAACCCATGATGTCTGGGTTGAGAGACAGACACCTGAACCACAAGGGCACCACTGCCCTTACCAACAGTGTGGATCATGAGCCAGGCCAGCGTACACATCTATACCACTGGTTCGAATGTTGACCCAGGCCAGCCTATGACATCTACACCACTGGCTAGCCTTAGCACTCTAACATCTTATACTATTAGCTACAAAATTTCAATACTTTGATATTGAAAATCCCTCAAGCTCACAAATCAAAGAATTCAAACTGAACTAGTCTGTTAAATACAAAATCAGCAGGATAAAGTGTTTAAACCATTAGTCAGTGACAAGAAATACACTCAGGCAGAAACCAACAACTTTGTTTATAACTAACATGTTGTATAATTATTTATCTTATAACGATAATCTTAAGTTGACTTTATAAAAAAAATCAAAGAAAATATTTATTATACTTACAGGAGCATTGGAAAATCTGTCGTTCATTCTGTCATATCTAAAAATATAACAATATACAACAATGATTTTATTCTAAAACCCTTCATCTGCTGAATTTCTTAAATGGACTTTTCCAATTTCCATTTTGGAACTGTCCATTATCAATTTTAGGGAATATCAAGGTAAGAATTTCAAGTTGTACCAGAGTATAACCAACAACCTCACGCCTCATACACTAGTAGGGTAGCTAACTACACTTTCTTAAGCATGTGATAGTATTTGTACTAATATCGAGTTACCAAAAATGTTCTATTTGTAAAAATTTACAACTGTTTGATTTGTAGTGAAATGTGAATGATGCAAGTAAGTTATAGCACTCCCAACGGGTACCGAGTTCTGGTCAGTATCAGGCTTATTCGAAAATGTGCTAATTTGCGTAAGCATTACGACTTATTCACATGGCAGAATGACCTAAATGTTAAAGTGTTACATAAAATGTAGATATCTATTAAATAAATTTCAAAGACTACTTACGTATCGTCGTACTGGACACATGTAATTCCCTTCTTCTTGCTGTAAAATATAACATTTCAAAGGGCATAAATAAACAGATTTTGGAATCGATATTAAAGCACTGAGTTTTGCCTTAAAAGAATTTCACATTCTATATTGACAACTTCCTTGGAGAAGGGAAAAAAATCTCACTGTTAAGGCACATTATGCCTTAGAAACAAATAACTTTTTTACTTTTTTTGAAAAGGTAAACATGAATTGTTTAATGTTTAAATAATTGATTTAGAATCTTAGATGCTTGTTACCTGAAGAATGTAAAGCAACAGATGAAAAAGATGATTCAGGTATTAGCCAATGAGTAACGTTTTGGAAACTAAAAAATTTCACCAAAATTAAAAAGCTTTTGAAAAATAAAAATAAAAGCTTTTCTGGGGCATAATAAGACATGGATGTCCCCACATTCCACTGATTCATCAGTATACTTACATACACTCATAAAGCATGACAACTGTACAGCATAACTGATAGACAAGGGCTTCAAAAACCCAGGAAAATCATTTATTTCTTGTTTTTATTCTTTATAAAACTACAAATTAAATCTAAATCAAACTTTAGTTATAAAAATACATTTACTTTTTAATTTTCAACTTATGAAAGAGATTTTAATGGTGACTAAACAGAAATATAGATACTTTTTGATAAATACAATGGGGTCAAATTTTTGCGCAAAATTAGCCATAAAAACACTTCTAAATACCACCAATGATTAAGACTTACGTTTTACTCATGGCCCTAGCTCTCTCTTGTAACTCAACAATCTACAAGCAAAAAGAAATGGTTTCATATCAACTTCAAACATAGATAGTTAAAGAACTAAAATACAGAACAAAATATCTTTCTATATAAATGGAGTAATATAATTATCTAAGCATGTTCAGTTTAACTAAACTCTTCAATTATAGAGGAAATACAGATTTATAAGGCTATATTGTATGTCATACAACAATTTCTGAATCTATTATCTACAGTCTAACTTGCCCATGCGACCACGTGTATTAAGCGACTTTTGTCTTAAACGACCACTTTAAATTCCCCCCGATCATTTTCTCTCTATATCTTTAATGTATTAAGCGACTTTTGCTCAACGCGACCAGCGACCGCTAAATAGTCACCTAATTGACATCAATCTTTTCATTAAACGACCACTTTTACCTGTCAAGTAATTGTGTTTTTAGAGAACGCCACCTCGTTAAGTCACAAGTGTCAACAATCAAAACACAACAATAAACGTGTGAAAAACTCTGGTATTTCCCATACCATTTTAGCGTATGCAAATGAAGTTAAGTATACGCGTGACGTGTATTATCCAATAATATCGGATAAACAATGCAAAGCTCCGCCCATACTGAGATGGTGTATACGCTTCGCTTGTTGACATTTAGACTTGAATTGACCTTGAACTTGATCAGCCATTAAATTAATCGTAACAAATAGATGTAGCTTGTTTATTTCAAATGAAAAAAAATGCACAACCGAAAACGTCTTCACTAATAGGGTTTTCGTGTTGGAGACAAGGAAAAACAACGGAGAAGTTAAAAAATTCTGGAAAAAATGTCAAACATGTACGTAATGGATCTTGAAACTGTTTTGTCAATAAATATCAGAAAGTTATTTTTTACATTTGCATCCATTTAGATTATCAGGGCGTACTTGTTTCAACATTTATATAAAAATGAAGTTGAAAAACAATCCCACCGAATAAAAAAGATGTCATTTATAAATTTTGACTTTTATATCACGCTGACTGTCTTAAGAGACCGTTTCATTAAGCGACCGTTTTGGGTGTTTCCCTTGCCTGGTCGCTTAATACACGTTTGACTGTACATTTTGGCTAAAGAGATAAACAGATGGTAAATATAGGTTTAGATTAAATAGACACGTTAAATAACAAGAAAACATGACAATGCTACACACCCAAGATTCCTTAAAATATCTCATTCCAAACTTAAATTAAAGCAAGTAAAACTAAACTTTATTAACTGGAAAACATCTTGTTTTATGCCCACCTGCCCATTAGCCCATCTGCCTACACAACCTAATATACAGGATTTTTAAAAATTTAAAAACCTGGTTAATAAGAAATCTTTCATCTATCTTGAAAGAGACATTCAAGCAGTTACTGAATACATGAATTAACCCTGAACATGCTAAATATCTTAAACAGACTTGTTCATTTTTTTATCTGGGTATAACCATTCATTTTTAGGGGAAATGGCATTAATTATTTTGCAGGGGGATATTTCACAATAAGTACTGCTTGAATAGGTGCCAGTGCAAACAATGATTAGACAGCATACACCGGTAGAATTAAATGCTGTCAGCAGACTTAAGGTTATTCAAGTATAGACCAATCAACTTACATCATACTGTTGCCTCTTATAGCGGTCCTCTGTATCATACATACTTGTGACAAGTATTCTGATTTGTTCGTGTAAATTTCTCGCCAGTTCTGTAAGCTGGTCAGTGCTCATACTAGAGGTATCGGCCAGAGGTGTGATTCTTGACGTCAGTGCATTCTGTTTGTCCTTCTCCAGTTCCTCCTTTGTCTTTTGTGGAGATTTCTTCTCCTCCTGTTTTGGAAAGAATTGGTTTAAGTAATTGCAGCAGTCTTTTGGAAAATTGTCTTCCAATTTAACCACATTCTAACAAAGATTACTATAGTTCATTAAAATAAAAGTACAGATTTTGCATATTGTCTACTGAAGTGTAACATATTTCATCAAATTAATGAACCTGAATGCAAGCATTCCTTTGTTATTCTACTTAAAGCAGCATGCCTCCAGATTTCTGCTAATTTTCATGAACATTTTTAAAAAAAACATATATTTAAAAGTAAAATATTGTGAAGTGAAAGAAGGTAATTTACACATTGCAAACTGCACTTAAAATCCACGTACATTAGTTTTTCACTGAACATAAAATGTAAATATTACATGAACCTTAAATCTTTTTACCAGAATTGTTCTACTAATATAACAAGAATTCTTCTTATTATTTAAGCTGTGGGCTTAATCCCTCTATAGAAGATTAATTTGTTTAAGTCGGGAACCTATCTAGCTACATTGTGGAAGGCCAAATAGTTCCATCAGAAAAACAAGAGCTGTTGGTAGTACAGTGTGCTCCACTTTTCTCAGAGCTTGATAACAAAACAAGAGCTCTGATTTTGTAGAATTTTAGTGAGAAAAAGGCAATAGTTCTGTCAATGTTATCTTTCTTTGATAGTGACCTCAATTAAGTGTGTGAAGTTTTAACCCATTCCCTTCAATAGTTTTGGGGATTCCAACTTGCATGGAAAAACTTCAGCAAAGTGTTATGCCGACACCTTGCTGAGTAAAACAGTTCTCCCTATTTTTCAAACAGTCCAGCTAATTACTAGCTTTTTGTTCCTCCAATACAAATGAAAAACTGGTATATCTCTGACAGAAAGTATGACGTAAATGTATACATGTATATATAGAAAATACATGGTTCATGTTGGGATGGAGAAGGTTTATCCGGTGAGCGAGAAAGTGTATCTTTGCAAGCTTTAGCTTTTTTGTTTTGCTGCTAACCATGTGACGTCATCATATGACGTAATGACTGGAGATAGATAAGTTTATCCGGCAAGACTTTATCTAGCTGATAATATAGGCAGTAGCAGGATAAAAAATATACTTACATCCTCATCTTCATCTCCACCCTCTTTCTTTACGATTGTGAAATTTGGGGTCTTTGGACCTTTTCTCTTTTCAGCCTCCAACCTCCTGCGTTCCTTCTCTCTCCTTCTCCTTTCTTCTTCCTCAGCCCTCTTCTTCTTTCTTTCTTCCTGTAACGAAAGGACAAATCTTAACTGACAATTGTATATAACTATTCTTAATTTCATTTTTATACCTTTTAACTTCAAAAGTATGTTCTAATACTTATTTCATTGCCAAAATTATACCTCGTTTCTAACGGAATAAGAGAAATTTCTCTGCATAAATTGCAAAGTTGTAGCAGTAAGAGCTTAAGGCAAGACTCAATTGCTTTATTTAAACACTTGACAGCATTTTCACTCATTAGAACAGTTTTCAAGTTGTCAAAAAACTAGGAGACAATCTACTTGAATTGAACGAAAGGTTACTTTGCAGCAAGTAATCACGCAATAAAATCTGAGGATAAAACCTGGCCACATATGCTGCCAAAACATTTGACCTTCACTAAATGCCTTTCTTAAAATCTTTGATTCTAGTGAGCCAAAAAAAATCAAAGTTTGTTTATCATCATAAACAAGGTTTGTTTACTCATGATTCAAATTATCATTTGATAACAGATTGAAATAAACTTCTTCATTTTTAAGCCATATAAAAATACCTCTTCAACTTTTCTACGAGCTTCTTCCTCCCTTCTTTGTTCTGCCATTCTTTTTTCTTCTTCTGCTCGTTCAACTTGTCTCTCTTTCTGCAAAACAAATAGTAAACATGTCGACCTTTGAATTCCACTACAATGATAGGCAAAGTCTGTGGTTGAAAACAGTGATTTCCCCCCTGTATTTTACAGCCATAGGCTGCTTCCCCAGTGGCCAAAATATGTTTATTGTCCCCTAACAAGGTTATATTTTCACCTGAAACGCTACTGTGAAAATTCTTCACCAGAACTATGACATAACAGCAGCTGACTTATATCAGCTAGTTGATAAATTTAATTGACAGAGAAGTTTGCTAAAAAATCTACCAATGTGATTTTTTTTTTTTTTTTTTTTTTTTTTTTTTTATGGGGTGGAGGGGGTGGGAGGGATGCTTGATGGAGGACAATTGGTAAGAAAACAGTATCATTGATAGATTGATAAAGAACTGGACAGGTGTATCTCTTGTTATTTTGTGTAATAAATAATGGCAGGAAAAAGAAATAATGCCTTTATTTGAGCCACGTCATGACAAGACCAACATAATCGGTTTGCGACCAGCGTGGATCCAGACCAGCATGTGCATCCGTGCAGTCTGATCAGGATTCATGCTGTTCACTATTAGTTTCTCTACTTGTTATAGGGTTTGTAAGCGAACAGCATGGATCCTTATCAGACTGTGCATATGTGCAGGCTGGTCTGGATCCTTGCTGGTAGCAAACCCATTATGTTGGTTTTGTCATGACGCGGCTCATTTCTTAAACTGTGATCAATCATTATTTGAAAATATCTAATAACATTTTGTACTTGAATTTGAAAATATCTTCACATTTTCAAATAACTATTTATCATAGTCTGAGAAATAAATAAATTAAATGTTAACTGTAAAAGCATTTCTTCAATTATGTTAAACATCTCAACATGGATATACAGTGAGATGTCTGACTATTCTATATGCTTGGCAGTATTAAAAAGGGGAATAACTCTGTAAAAGGTAACTCAGAGTTATGTGACCTGTGCCCATCCTTTTATATACAGAAAACAAGTGTGTTAATTTTCAAAAAATTCCATTCATAATTTTTTGAGATACCAACTTGCACTCAAATCTAATAGATTTACTGTGCTCAAATTTGTTATTAGAAAGTATTGATACATGTATTTGCTACAGTCACAGTCTCTTTGTAAATATAAAATAAACATGTTTTCACTTCACACAAAATAGATACATTATATTATGTTTAAAATTCTACACACTATAGGTGGTCACAATATAAAAATATATTGTGTCATTTGAAAAACTGGCAGTTTTTTAAAGAGAATACCAACTTTTCTTGACCTATAATAAGGAACACTGCTTCCCATACATAGTTTATTCATTCTTTCATTAATTTTAGACAAACTGAGTAAGTATATCATAGATTTCAAGTAATTTCTGTGATTAAAATATTTTACTTAAGGGTGAGCATAGTATATTCTGAACCAGAGTGCAATGGCGACACTCATGTCGGGGTAAGTACAATACTTAGGATAATCGAGCCAAAAATGAGACAAACAGTGAAACACCTCTTTACTACTCACCCTTTTCCTTTTAAGTTCCTCGATATCATGGGCCTCCTTCTCCTTTTCTGACTGTCTCATAGCCTTGTATTCTTCCATTTCTTCGGCTAGTTTCTGTTCTTTACGTTTTTGTTGCTCTTCAAACGTTTGGAAGGTCTCCCCTCTAAAACAGTACAAACATAATATTCACTATTCACAGTTATAAATTGCATTTTTTATATATTTAAAAAAAAAAGCATCAGAAAACCTCTAGAACTTTTTCCCTATATTTCTCCTATGAAGAAAAAATATTTCCTAAAATTCTATTACAAACCATAGATAATAGACTTAAACAATATTGAATTTGGAACAGTCCATAATCACTTAAGGGATTTTAAAATTGAACAAATTCATCAGCTGGTCATACTTCAAGAAGATGTTGGCTGACTAGACATGGTACTGGTGGGATAGTCAACATCAAGTCATTACCTCCCCTTAATCACTGATGTAATTTTTTTATGTTATACATCAATCATCTAAAAGATGTTTTAATCATAACCAAATTCCACTATCGATTCTGTGGTAAAATTTATACTAAAGTTCAATGTATATAAAATTATCATATGCTATAATAATAAGCATGATATAAACATTTGAATTAATAATCACTTGGTGAATGAAACAGCCTTAATTCAAAATTTACTTTAGCTGAAAAAAAGTTAAAGGAGAAAAAATCTATGACAAAATGCAATTTGAACTCTAATGAATCACACTGACTTTAACCTCTCAAAATCAACATTTCACTCCTACCAACATGTTTCACACCTAGTGTAACTACATAATTGAATAAAATCCCTTCTCTTATAAAAAAGTTTCAAACATAAAAATTGGGGAAGGGGGGAAAAAAGACAAGGTAAAAAATAAATGAGCCACGTCACAACAAAACCAACATAATGGGTTTGCAACCAGCATGGATCCAGACCAGCCTGCGCATCAGTGCAGTCTTATCAGGATCCATGCTGTTCACTTACAAATGGTGAAACCCTATAACAAGCAGAGAAACTGATAGCGAACAGCATGGATCCTGATCAGACTGCGCGGATGCGCAGGCTGGTCTAGATCCATGCTGGTCGCAAACCCATTATGTTGATTTTGTCATGACGCGGCTCAAACATAAATGAAAGCTAGTCAGGTATAAAAATGTTTACGCATGCCATCAGTGCTTGCTGTCAGGAAACTGTTATATCCCATCATACTTAAATCTCAACAATGTCTTGTAAGTAAACAAGAAAACGGCTAGAAGAAAACCAAGAAATTTCTGAAAATATGTTTAAAGACTCTTGTATTTTGTCTGTTTCCATGTTAATTCTATCAGAAGTAATTATACTCTTGTGTATTTATCGGTCCATGTGATCTGTTTTGTACAAACTCTTGCCAAATAACCGACTAATCTTTCGACTGTGTTTATATAAAAGTAAATTTATCCTATAGTCATTATGAACTGTAATAATCCACACTGAACTAAAGTTATTTCATGTTTCAGCACCATTCTAAGATTAAAAGCAGCAGATTTGTGTCCCTCTCCTCATATTATTATTCAGAGATGTACAAAGATAAAAATCTTAAACTTTTAATTGGAATAAGACCTGGTTCTTTTTTCTTTCTTTCCTTATCCCTTCAAAGTTCAAATATCTTAAACTGAATAACATCTATTAAAACATAAAAACTTAAACTTTTGAATTGCGTTTTCAATTTCTGACCAAAAAGACTGAAAAATAAAGACAGAAAAATGAAAGACATACATTAGTTCATAAATCTAAACGACTATTCACTACTGAAAGCACAACATACATGTAAATTTACATGCTTTTTGTTAAGTCATAAAAACTGTCTGTTTCTACTTTTCCTACATCAAGATATTTCTGGCATGTCAAAAGCACCTTACAAATGTTATGTTGATAACAATACCAGATACATTCTCTATTATTTTCTTGTAATTGATTAAAAAAAAAATTGTAATAATTTTCTAAGATTCTTATTCTGGATGGGAAACTAGAATTCCAAGAAAAAAATTATAATGTTTAATTTCTGTGCTAAATAATGTTACAAACTTGTGTCCATCCTTAAAACATTCCAGAGGTTATCCAAAACTGCTCCGCAAATTGGGTTATCCCTATCTAATCCAGGGTACGAACACTCTTTCACTGTTATATCTTCACCATAGAGGCTCATAGGGAAGACTAGGCTTGCCTAAACTGCCTTGCCTCTATAAATAAAGTCTTTACTTTTATTATTATTATTTTTATTATTATTATTATTTATTATCCATCCACAAAAGAGTGTTTATCACTATTATATTATCCAGTAAAATTTGTTTGTACTCCTGGATAAGATGGGGGTAAACACATGTTTGCAGAGTTCCAGAGTATCTTTATTTGGAAGTTTTTTTGTAAACTGGACAATAACAAATTTTAAGATTCAGAAGCCAACAGTTTAAAGCTTGGTAAAACTGCTTTACTGTGCATGTTGGCATGGCTAAATAATGATCTCAATCAACCATTATTCCATCCAGAAATAGTATATTTCAAAATTCTAATTGCCGTTCTTGTTATAGACCAAACTAGAATCAGACATTGATTTTGACTATTTTTCTACCTCTGAAATATAAAGATTAAAATCATCTACAACATCTATATACACTTCTCTGCAAGTTTTTAATAATTTCTGACCAGTAGGGTTTTTAACAATAAAACAAGTTTCTTATATGTGAGTAATTGCAACAAATAATATCTTTCACACAAAATTTATATAATCTAGTCTAAACTTTAGCCTATGCCTGATGTTAGAAACAAATTTGATCCAAGTGACCAATGCAGGCCAAGATCACCTGGCACATTTGCGCTGTCCTAACAATTTAGCTTTGATCAATTTTGATAGAAGACCATTTTAGGATCAACCCATGGTTTAATCAGGGGAAGATGTTAAAGTTTACTTTTTGGCTATGGTGTTGTGTAAATGAGGACAATAATATGATGTTTAATTTGAGAAAACTGAAATTTGACTGACAAATGGATGCTACAGAGCAAATTTTAAAAGTAATCTTAACCAGTGTTTATATTTATTGACAAAGGAAACTGAATTCATACTGAACTTTTAGTTCTGATTAGCAGCAATAGTGTAAAGTGCAGCAAGTTAGAGCAAGTTAGAGCCCAGTGCCACTACAAAGACATATACTGGATTGTCATGAGTTTACAGTGGTATATCTGGCATATTCTTAAGTCATGAGTTGGTAAACAAATCTATCTCGAATATTCTAAAGGACATATACTGGATTGTCATGAGTTTACAGTGGTATATCTGGCATATTCTTAAGTCATGAGTTGGTAAACAAATCTATCTCGAATATTCTAAAGGACATATCCTGGATTGTCATGAGTTTACAGTGGTATATCTGGCATATTCTTAAGTCATGAGTTGGTAAACAAATCTATCTCAAATATTCTAAAGGACATATCCTGGATTGTCATGAGTTTACAGTGGTATATCTGGCATATTCTTAAGTCATGAGTTGGTAAACAAATCTATCTCAAATATTCTAAAGGACATATCCTGGATTGTCATGAGTTTACAGTGTATATCTGGCATATTCTTAAGTCATGAGTTGGTAAACAAATCTATCTCAAAATATTCTAAAGGACATATACTGGATTGTCATGAGTTTACAGTGGTATATCTGGCATATTCTTAAGTCATGAGTTGGTAAACAAATCTATCTCAAATATTCTAAAGGACATATCCTGGATTGTCATGAGTTTACAGTGGTATATCTGGCATATTCTTAAGTCATGAGTTGGTAAACAAATCTATCTCAAATATTCTAAAGGACATATCCTGGATTGTCATGAGTTTACAGTGGTATATCTGGCATATTCTTAAGTCATGAGTTGGTAAACAAATCTATCTCAAATATTCTAAAGGACATATCCTGGATTGTCATGAGTTTACAGTGGTATATCTGGCATATTCTTAAGTCATGAGTTGGTAAACAAATCTATCTCGAATATTCTAAAGGATATATCCTGGATTGTCATGAGTTTACAGTGGTATATCTGGCATATTCTTAAGTCATGAGTTGGTAAACAAATCTATCTCGAATATTCTAAAGGACATATCCTGGATTGTCATGAGTTTACAGTGGTATATCTGGCATATTCTTAAAGTCATGAGTTGGTAAACAAATCTATCTCGAATATTCTAAAGACATATCCTGGATTGTCATGAGTTTACAGTGGTATATCTGCATATTCTAAGTCATGAGTTGGTAAACAAATCTATCTCAAATATTCTAAAGGACATATACTGGATTGTCATGAGTTTACAGTGGTATATCTGGCATATTCTTAAGTCATGAGTTGGTAAACAAATCTATCTCGAATATTCTAAAGGACATATCCTGGATTGTCATGAGTTTACAGTGGTATATCTGGCATATTCTTAAGTCATGAGTTGGTAAACAAATCTATCTCAAATATTCTAAAGGACATATACTGGATTGTCATGAGTTTACAGTGGTATATCTGGCATATTCTTAAGTCATGAGTTGGTAAACAAATCTATCTCAAATATTCTAAAGGACATATCCTGGATTGTCATGAGTTTACAGTGGTATATCTGGCATATTCTTAAGTCATGAGTTGGTAAACAAATCTATCTCAAATATTCTAAAGGAACATATCCTGGATTGTCATGAGTTTACAGTGGTATATCTGGCATATTCTTAAGTCATGAGTTGGTAAACAAATCTATCTCAAATATTCTAAAGGACATATCCTGGATTGTCATGAGTTTACAGTGTATAATCTGGCATATTCTTAAGTCATGAGTTGGTAAACAAATCTATCTCAAATATTCTAAAGGACATATCCTGGATTGTCATGAGTTTACAGTGGTATATCTGGCATATTCTTAAGTCATGAGTTGGTAAACAAATCTATCTCGAATATTCTAAAGGACACTATTCTGGATTGTCATAAGTTTACAGTGGTATATCTGGCATATTCTTAAGTCATGAGTTGGTAAACAAATCTATCTCAAATATTCTAAAGGACATATCCTGGATTGTCATGAGTTTACAGTGGTATATCTGGCATATTCTTAAGTCATGAGTTGGTAAACAAATCTATCTCGAATATTCTAAAGGACATATCCTGGACTGTCATAAGTTTACAGTGGTATATCTGGCATATTCTTAAGTCATGAGTTGGTAAACAAATCTATCTCGAATATTCTAAAGGACATATCCTGGATTGTCATTAGTTTACAGTTGTACATCTGAAATATTTTCAACAGTGGTATAAATGGCATATTACTCTGAGAAGCACTGATAGTAACCTTGCTAAAATATTTGGTTAATAGCTGTTGTACAGGTAAATAAATCAGATATAGATTTATGGCATTGTTTATTATGCATGTTTCTAATTACTAAAGTCATTACTCACAGCTATTCCATCATCCCCCCCCCCCCCTCTCCCAGGGCCCTCCTTATCTATCTGTTTTTCTGTCTCAGGAACAACGAACTATTATCTTATTGAAAACATATGCTGAATAAGATATCAAGAACAGATTTTATTATCTTTCTCCTTTCTTATGATTCCAATCCATCTTTATAGTAAACATGAAACATTTTTATATTGTTGTATACATAATAATTTAATTTATAAAAAAATCAATAACACTACACCTTAGACTTATTTTTGAAACTTTTCAATATATGGGTTTATGTATTTCATATTATTTTACATCATTTATCAATTCCAGGAAATTATATTATATTTTCCAAAATGAAATATCAAATTTTATGTAAGTAATAGAAGAAAAAGAATTCAATGATGACTACAACTTAGACAAGGAGCCAATCAGTCCATTCAAGGTTAAAGAGATTAAAAATATCAAAATGCAAAATGTGAGCCACAGTAACACGCCTTGCCAGACTGCATGGATGAGCAGACTGGCCTGGCCTGATACTGGTGACTTTAAGGCTAATTACTTTAAATTCCAGCAGTTTAAGGGTTAATTCAATGAAAAAATCTTGATGTTGATTTTTTTTATCCAATCTGCCTATTTTCCCATCTTGTGTGGTCTAAATAAACAAACCTTGACTGGCTTAGTATACTTTTATTTCTGGAAATACTTTGAGAAAAAAATGTTCAAGCCAGAAATGCATAAAAACTTGCAGCACTGCTAAAAAACATTTACTCTAAAAATAAAGACTATAAGACCAGGGGTTCTATCTAAACTAAAGCTGTTACTATATATAGAATACTTACTCTCCGCCCCCATCTTCAGCCTGCCCTCTATTATGCAAATTAGCAAACAATAATATATATATGAATAATTATATATTGAACATACAATATCCATTAACTTAAACAATGTCATTCATGCATACTGATATATAAATAAAGCAATTAACATTTTAGCAATAAACATTAACAGTCAAGAACAGTTTCAGACCTTTATATATATATATTTAAAATAACCTCCGTGGAAAAATGAGATGTTGAATAATAAAGATAACTTAAGAAAAATTTAATTCTTTAATATCAATTATCATGCATGCTTCAACTATAACGTCATCTCCTTCAGAAAAGAAGGCATTCCTAATTTGACGAAGTTTTGATCTTCTTTTGTTTCAAGAGTAGACTGATAATATCCACATAGTGTCTTTTTTCCAAAACTTTTCAATTTAAATTCTAATTCCTTCGTTTTTTTCAAATGACTGAAACTGTTCCAATAAATACAAGCACATTAATAAAACATTTTGTCATAGTAGGCCAGGGTACAGCTGCCCTGATCAATCTATAGCCCTTACTGCAATTAATTTTATATCTAATTTATTACATCATATAATATTATAAGAATCTTACACTGGCTGCCGGTACAGACCGAAATATCTAGCTCGAGGGTAACTGTTTACGGTGGTAACGAGGCTCTGCCTCTTCAATTTTATTTTTGAAAAAAAAATGAAATATGGATGGGGCATTAATTAAAAGTGGGATGAATATAATGAATTTCGCTGTATTTCTCTTTTCCTTAACGATTTAACAACAAAAATTTAGTTTCATGCAGGGCATAAATAAATCAATGTGTGTGTGTAAGTTTTGCATCATTAATATGTAACTGATATTTACAACAGATTATTGATTGGTTAGCAGCATACAGTATTACAGAAATCATCACATGATATAGCCATTCCTCATGTTCCTTAAAGACAGTAATCATTTACTAATCTACCTAGAACTGTTTCTCTCCTACATTACACCACATAGTCTGTGGGTGTGTGAGTGTATTTATAGATCTGCCAGACTTCATGCTATGTATATATTGGAAAACTAGAAGATTTTGGGGGGAATTTCTAAACTTCCAATGGTATGTTATAATACCATGTACCTTTATTTCTAAAAATTTCTTAGAGATGTTCTATATCAAATCCTAAATCTGCAGAATTTCTATAATGGACTTGTCCATCTTCAGTTTAGGAATGGTCCAATTTATTAACTTTAGGGATATTACAAAGAACATTTTGAGGGTTGACCACAAAATTGTAGTAATTTATATGAAATAAGGAAGGAATTCCCGTGACAAAAGAAGCAGCCATTTTTTAGGGTATCATTTAATACAAAAAAAAATTGACAAAAAAAAAAGAAAACAGACAATTAAGGTGAATCAACAAATTCTTTAACATATATTAAGAAAAGTTTTGATTATTACTTTTAGCAACTTTTTTTTCTTCTTCCCATATTCCATAAGCACTCATCAGAGGAAAACGTAAAATGATGAAAAAGACCTGATGATGCTTGCATCTATAGAATATTGTCTACATTCATGCAAATATACCTTACTTCAAACTGACTTGTATGCTGAATACTGCTTAAATGCAATAAAAAAATAACAGAAGGCAAGTTTGACAGAATCCAAATTAACCTGGTAATGCCAATTTTTGAATCAACCTAAATTGAACCTAGTAATCCCATTTTTTGACAATCCATACTTAACCTGGTAATGCCGATTTTTGACAGAATCCAAATTAACCTGGTAATGTCTATTTTATGACAGAATCCATATTAAACCTGGCAATGCCAATATTTTACTGAATCCAAATGTCAATTTTTGACAGAATCTATATTTAACCTGGTAATGCCGATTTTTGACAGAATCCATATTTAACCTGGTAATGCCAATTTTTTACTGAATCTAAATGCCAATTTTTGACAGAATCCATATTTAACCTGGCAATGTCAATTATTGACAGAATCCATAATTTTATTTAACCTGGTAATGCCAATTTTTAACAGAATCCAAATTGACCCTGGCAATGCCAATTTTTGACAGAATCCATATTTAACCTGGCAATGTCAATTATTGACAGAATCCATAATTTTATTTAACCTGGTAATGCCAATTTTTAACAGAATCCAAATTGACCCTGGCAATGCCAATTTTTGCCAGAATCCATATTTAACCTGGAAATGCCAATTTTTGACTGAATCAAAAATGAATTTAACCTGGTAATGCTAATCATAAATTTTTATTTAAGCACTTTTCACCCTAAAGTAAAACGTAGCTTACATTTTTGCATGTGTATTTTTTTTACCCCAGTCAATTACGCCACACCCCAATGGGGATAGCTGGGACTTTTGGATTATCAAAAACCCTTACCCCCAACCCCGTAAGTAAAGGCCCATCCTGCAGGAATAGTCAGACAATAAAATATCTATCAAAATGCCAAGGAAAGCAAGTTGGGTATATGTTCTGCTTTTTGTCAATAAAAAAAAAACCACTGCATTGACCAGTTAGTGCAAGGACAGACAGTCAGACAGGTAAAAACTTTGCTAATTTCTACCCCCCATTTCCTTCACCTTCGTATTAATTAGTTACATTTGACTTTTTAAAAAAGGTAAAGAAAAATTACTTTTAAATATTGAAGTACTTGATGTGATAAATACAAAATGAGTACACTACTGAAAGTAAAAGACTATAAAAAATTCAATAAATATGATACTGTATGAGTGTTGGGTAGCTATTGAAGGCAACAAAGTAAAATAGTAGTTGGTTTTTTTAACAGTTCGTAAATAAGTATAATACTAAATGCAACAGGAGCATACTAAAAAAGACTGATTAAGCAAGGAATGAAGGCAACAGAGTCATTGTGATTTTATACAGAGCAACAGATAAGGTGCGTATTTGCGTATTTACGCAATTAATTTTATAAAATACGCAATTGATTTTTTAAGAATGCGTATCAAAACCCATTAAAAAAAATAAAATACGCAATTGTCTTAAAAACCTGTGCGTATTTTCATTTTCATCACCGCAAAATTAATCTGTCGTAGTTCTCGACAAATTATATCGATATGCATGCAGTATCAGAATATTCCCGAATTAATGCTAACTAATCAACAGTCTCCGGTCTTCGACGGTCCCTGGTCTCCAAAGACCGACTTAGCTATATCAATTAAGCATGAGACCGTCGATTTATCTCTCAGGTCGACGGTCTGTACAGACCGGCAGAGACAGTTGATTTTGCGGAGACCGTCAATAAGTAGGTCCCAGCTGTATCAATAGAAAGCATTATTGCGTCATACAAAAGGGAAAATGATTTAAAACAAAACAGTCGTAAATAATCAAAAATCAGTCAGAAAACAAACTTGTTAAAAATATTATGAAATATAACATGAGCATTTTATATAAAAAATAAAACAATTGTGAAAAGTTCTAGTAAATTGCTAATCCTATTTTCTTTTTAAAACAGTTTAAATTTGTTGATATTGAAACCATAAAATTCATATCTTCATAATTGAATACCCAATTGATCTTGAAATCATAGGGTATTGAGTTTTGGAATACCCAATTAAATGGAGCTAATACCCAATTCCAAAGGAAATGATGGAGTAATACCCAATTCACTTTAAAAGCTTATCTGTTGCTCTGTTATAGAAAGTAAAAACAATGCATGTACTGAAGGTAACAGAAATACACTAAAAAGGTGAATCAAAGAATGAAGGCAACAGAATAAATGTGATTCTAATATGAGTAAGAAAGCTTTTTTTAACATAACAGTGCTTAAATTCCCAATTCCATGGGTATGGGTTATGTTCCCAAAATCCTTGAAAAAAATGTGGTTAATAAAATGTAAAATATTGAAGGCAACAGGCAAACTGAAAAGGAAAAATATAGAATGAACAACAGAGATAGCCCTACTTGTGGTTAATTTAACAAATACTGAAGGCAACAGACATAATTATATTGAATGAAGGCAACAGACAAGGTCCTCATTGTGATTAATTTAACAACACTGAAGGCAACAGACATAATTATATAGAATTAAGGGAACAGGAAATGTCCTATTTGTGATTAAATTAACAATACTGAAGGCAACAGACATAATTATGTAGAATGAAGGCAACAGGAAATGTCCTTTTTGTGATTAATTTAACAATACTGAAGGCAACAGACATAATTATATAGAATGAAGGCAACAGGAAAGGTCCTATTTGTGGTTAATTTAACATATACTGAAGGTAACAGACATGCTGAAAAGATACAACATTTAAAATACTTACTGGTCTTCATTATCTGACATCTTGAATTGTTAAGACAAAACAATGAAATCTGAAAACAACAAACAACACTTCTAACAATTCACAAAACACAGCAGCAGATATAAATATATCTTTAGATATAAATAAAGCAAGTTGACAAAAAAAGTACAGAATTGATGTTATATCAAATCCTCTTTGTGAGACTGAACAAAGCGCAGTGTTAAAATGTGCCGTGAAAAACAAGTTTCTTTCTTAATAATAGTTGTTTAGTAAATACGTAAAACAAGGCTTAAATACGCAGATCTTATAAACACTCACAATTCTGCGTTGATGTTTTTAGTATTGTAAATAACACAAAGCGTAAATACAGAACTTCTAGAAATACCTACCTACAGCCTTGACCTATCCTGTGAACCAATTTGTGGAAAGTACGTAGGCTTATCAGCACCAACGATCAATAAGACATGTACAAAAACAAAATGGCATACTCGAAGATCCAAATTGACGTCTGCTATCTGTTAATTTCAGACTTGTTTATTTACCTACGGTTCTGAAAATTTCACGTAAGCCTAGAATGAACTCGTTCTATTCTTAAAACACAAATTCCTTACCTGGAAATAAACGAAACAGTCCCAAAAAGAGTGTAAGAAGTCCAAGCAACTATTTGGAATGTTGGAAAGCACTAAAACCCCTGCACGAAAAGTCTAAAAGTATCCCGAAGTTTGTCCTAATTGGAATAGCACATTTATTTTAGGGACAATTATTCCTTTGAATTCGTAGTAATAAAAATCAAATGTTCAGAACAATCTAAAGGTTCTTATCAAATACACATGTTTATATAATCGTAAAGTGCTACATAAAGTCTACTAATTTGCGGTACTTTCATATGCCAAAGATAGCGTGGAACTAACTCGCTGAGAATTTCGACAATCCTGCTACCCCTTTTACAAAGTGTATTCACCCATTGACTGGATGCTGAGTAAACACCCAATCAGGTACAGGTAAAGTAGGCTTTTCCATATATGCAAAATGATAATTCTCCTGATAGAATGATCCAATTTTGCCGCAAATAGCGAACAATTTTTAATTGTTTTAAAGCATGTTTTTTTTTATTCTTTAAAAATTGTGCATTGTGTAAGTTAACGTAAAATTCGCTCTATTTCGTAAATAAAAACATACTTCCGTCGGTTCCCGTACTGTCTAGTATTGTTGGCATAAAAGATGAACATGTACGCAGCATCCGAATGCGTTCGATAGACAAATATTCACATTAATTTTGAAAAAAAAAGAAAAAGATTTTAATATTATCATGTATTAATTATATTGAAATCATGTAACTGATTACTTGACGAAACAGCCGACAAAATTAATAGATCATGATTAAGGCTGAAAATATAACGTAGGAAACATTACATGAGTTTTAATTTAATAGTAATTAAAGCCGTGGTATAACTTACCAAAATTTAAAGTTAAACGCGATTCCAATATCTTTATCAACAGGAGTCCAATAGCACTACAATGCAGTAGAAACTTGGACAAAAAAAATGTTTTTTTTTTGTCGCAGATATAAATCAGAAAAGTATAATAAAAAATCAGTTTTTTTTCCACATTTATTTATTTATTAACCATTTTTGGTAAGGAAGCAATGTTTTTTTATGCCCTGATCAGAGTGGGAGCATATAGCGTTGCACTTGTCCGTCCGTCTGTCCGTCCGTACGTCTGTCCGTACGTCCCGAAATCTTGTGAACGCAACTCCTCTTAAACCGGATGGCAGATTTTGCTTAAACTTCCAGGGATGAACAACCCTAATGTGTAGATGGTAGTAAAGGAAGGAATTTTTGCTGCGACCAAATTTAACAGAATTATGGCCCTTTGTTGATTTTTTCACTATATACCATGTAGAAATTTTGTGAACGCAACTCCTCTTAAACCGGATGGCAGATTTTGCTTAAACTTCCAGGGATGAACAACCTTAATGTGTAGATGGTAGTAAAGGAAGGAATTTTTGCTGCGACCAAATTTAACAGAATTATGGCCCTTTGTTGATTTTTTCACTATATACCATATAGAAATTTTGTGAACGCAACTCCTCTTAAACCGGATGGCAGATTTTGCTTAAACTTCCAGGGATGAACAACCTTAATGTGTAGATGGTAGTAAAGGAAGGAATTTTTGCTGCGACCAAATTTAACAGAATTATGGCCCTTTGTTGATTTTTTCACTATATACCATATATATGTTGTCAGTGGGGGCATCCGTGTCCTTTGGACACAGTTCTAGTTTCTATCAGATTTGCAGACCTGTTTATTCAGAAATCATGGTAAAGAATAACATATTGTCCAGGAACAAATTCCAGTGTATTTCTGCCTCAAAACTCCTGAAATATACATCTCTATGTACACAGCATGGTCACATAAAACAATATCTAGTGTTCGTTATGTGACATGAGATTTCATAAAAAAAACTTACAGATTATCTCCACAAAAGATTCAGTTTGAAGTATTTTATCATTTCATAAAAATGAATTAGATTTCTTTGAAAGTAAATCTTACCCAAACTGATTGGTAATTAGGTATTAGTCTGCAGGAATTTTAGATCAGTTTATGAATGATGTGGCTGGAACCCATGGTCACTAGGTGGAGGGTCAGACCTAATGGTAAAGGTGACAACAGGCCACAACTTTTACATATATCTTTGTGGTCTGATGACCTAGATGACTGATGTTAGAGGTCAACTAATATTATATAAACTATTAAAGTTCCTTTGATACATTTTCACCTATGTTCAAGGTCAGCTTCTATTTTGTCAAACCATATTTCATTGATACTGACAGAGACTGTTATAAGGGAACATAATACAAAATATAGCTCCAAATATTGAGGATAAAATTTTTCTTCCTTAATTAGCATATTCGCTTTTTTTGACACCTTTGACCTTACAAAAGTAGAGAAATAAAACAATGGGACAGCTAGAGTTAGCAAACTTAGAAAATACCACAAATAACTGACTTAACCTACTGTTTTTGTTTGTTTTGGGTTTTACGTCACATCAACACAGTATAGGTCATATCGCGACGTTCCAGCTTAACTGGTTGAGGAAGACCTCAGGTGCCCTTCTGTGCATTATTTCAGGCACGAACGGGTACCTGAGTAGAACCACCGACGTTCCGTAAGCTAGCTCAATAGCTTCCTCACATGAAAGAATCCAAAGTCTGTCGGGATTCGAACCCACAGCGGTGAGGGGCAAGTGGTTTTAACCTACTGTAATCACAGGTGAGTAAACAAAGAATTGGCAATACAGTCAAACATTTCAATAAAGACCAATATAAGGAAACTTAAAATTTGGGCTTTGTAGAAGGGTGGCCTGTGGAAAAGGTATTCTTGTTTAATAATGCATAATAGGAGAAGTTGTTATTTATAGTATGAATTATAAGACATACAATTTCAAATTATTTAACTTTCCTTACATTAAAAAAACTATTAATTTTTCAAAAGTTTGAAAAATACTTTCATTCTGAAAAAAAAATGTTCATTTTGAAAGACTGAGTAGAAAAATATCAACAGGTCTGGCTTTAAATTATTCACCAACAACATTGTTTTTTCATCAATTTTATTTTTACTCATTTCACATGAAAGTATTCATTTGATATCATAAAATCATCACACGTTATAAGACATTCATAAACGACTGTGTCATAAAAAAAGCAACTTTAAATCAAGAAATAACTGAATACATAACAATTAATCTTTTCCCTGCTTACAAATTAATTAACCCTTGCCCTGCTAGGACCAATTCTGAACAGAGATCTGCCATTGTCACCAGTATAGAGCCAGGCCAGCATACACATCTCTGCAGTCCGACTAGACCCTATATTGTTGGTTGACAAATTTTCGCCTTGATATCCCAAAATTAAAGGAACTCCACTAAGGTCCAAAAGCCATAAATCATAAAATTTTAATGTCATACATTTATCGGGTGGGGCACTTAAAACAGAAAGATATATAAAAGATATTTAAGAAATATACTTAGAAATGAATTGAAAATCATATTTTTCTTGCATTCTTAGCGAGTGAAAAGCAATGCAATACTTTACAATTTTGGGTCATTTTTCTTACAATTACGGGGTAGAATAATAATAAATCTTGAAAAACAGAGTGAGCAAATGATCTGAAATTTTGCACATAAGTTTTTGGTCTAGACCTACAACAAATGGAACAATAATATTGAAAATATATTTCCAGTCCACTCATGTCAAAAGACCTCATTCAAGTCCCTTTAATACTGGACATTTCCAAAAAATAAAAACCTGTCAAGTCCATTTAAGAAATCCAACAGATTAAGGATTTAATACATGAAATAAATAGAGGGAAAAAAAACAAAAGAGAGAGAAAATAACCCAACAAAAAAACAACAACAACAAAGTATATTTCAGACCTTATAAAAATTACAGATTTCAAATTTATAGGCAGATTTATGTAGAACTTTAATTTATCAGTATGTGACAAAATATTTCATCAAATAGCAAGCTGGCAAGAGTTATAGCAAAAAAAGTTAAAAGTAAAATTTTAGAAAAATTAAAAAAAAACAAACAAAAAAACGAAAAATACTGTAGGTAAAAATGCCTGCTACTAATGACACTTCTTTTGATTAATTTTCCCTTAAAGATGCATGCCTCCAGATTAGCCAAATTATTTCAAGGAATCAAGCTAGAGAAAAATGAACTAAGATTTTAAGAAAATAAAAAGATTCAAGAAATAAGTTACAGGCTATGTGCCATTTAAATTTAATTAATGATTTTGCATTATTTAGCACCATATTTCTACTGTGTGACTAACATAGTAGGGGCTAATTAGTGAGTAAATTACTTTCTTTGTTCTTTTCATAATATTTTACTTTCTAAATGCATTTTTTTTTTGGTTAATTTTCATGAAAATTAGCAGGAATCTGGAGACATGCTGTTTTAAATTAATACATTATCATGGGTGCACGTGCAAAATGTCAGAAAACCTGGATCCAATAATATTTCAATTGGTTTTATATAAAAGAATTTTTATGTATGTATTCTAGGCTTAATGAGGGTGCGTCCACCCTTTCAGGCACTGAGAGTAGGAACCCTGGACATGTCATCAGTCATGCCCTTAAAATCGAAAGTGGTGACCTATTTGATTGGAATTTAGAATTTCACTGAATGAAACCAAAGAAAATGCAATTATTGTTATAATATGTCTGAAAACTTATGCCCATGCATTATACATCTATAAACCATCAATACATACATGTATAGTATTACAGATGTAGCAGATAAGAAATCTATTTATTTATCACAAAATCAGATCAGTCTTATCTTGTATACAGATCTAATTGATGAGAAAAATTATCTCAAAATCTGGGATGTTTTGTCATATATACATGTGTTACTAATCAACCTACCCTACATGTATAATTAATTGATGATGTAACATATGTGTTTCTATGGCATGAATTCTTTAGTATATACAACTAGTATCAAAGTATTAAATGGTGGTCAAAGATTTAAGATTTTGTGATAGATTAGCATCTGTTTAAATAAATAACAGACAGTATAATGGCATCTTGGATTTATTTTCTAAACTGATTAGCCGATTATATAACTGCTTTAGTTCCACTGAGATTTGTTTCAATCACACAGATTCAATAAAAATGCAAAGATTCAATACCTGGCCCTAAGAAATAATAGGAAACAATAAAAACCTTAAACAATGCCCAACACAACAAAATTAAAAACGTTGCAAGCTCGGTTTGACTGGGCCATGCCTCATTTTCGGCACCAAAAAAAGCAAATGACAAAAAGAACACCACTTTTTAATGTGGTCATTTCATACTTATT